GCCATGTGCCTGACTGTACCTCTAACCCTCCCCCTGACTATTTTAAGTAACGGTTACTTTTAAAGCCGCTATTGCACTTCTACATACCACAATGTCAAACTTTGAAAAGATTAGTCTTTTGGATTCTTAAATAAGGAGTGTAACCCTCGCTCCCCAACCCCAACGGTCTATTTTTAGTTAGAGTGACCTTGACTTTATAATTATTTAAATCCCTATCCCTATATTGCACATCTACATATCACATTGATTCTGAGATAATCTCTGAAAAAGGAAGTGTAGACAAACAGACGGACAAACGGCCACCATGATCAAGATTTCTATACACATAAAAGACACCTACAAATAAATTGTGATATACTCAAAGAGCTAATTTGAATTGTTTTCTATATCATTACAGAACATTTATATAATGCTTTATCTTATCTCAAACAAATCACTCCAGGGCCCTGTGAGACACATCCTGATCAGGTTCAGGGCAGGGTATAGGAATACACTGGTCTTATTTGATAGTATTCGTAAGAGATGGGTTAACAGCTGAGCCACAAAATAGGTTATACAGGATGTCGGAACAAAGTGGTGGTTAAATGAGTCAGGTGTCATTGTATTTTATTGTGAATTGCCTAATAATTTATTTAATATTTTTTTAATTTTTTTATTTTTTGTTCTCTTTTCTTCTTGCCTAAAATAACCAGTGATTTACAAAATCTGTCAATTAGAGGTTTGACTATATAGCCGCTGGGATAGAGTTAACTGAATTTACACTATTCTGGTTGTCCCACTATTCAGCAGGTTACGATTAAGGGGACATATTTACTAATCACAGATGTCACAGTAATCTAGAAATTCAAAGGTGTCACGATCCAGTCACTTTAGTTGAGAATAAAGGTGGCTGATTATGACAAGCCTTGACTGTTTACATGTCACCTTGACCTGAGTTTTGACCTTGACTTGACAGATTTACAAACCTTATTGGTGACTGTACAGTCAGCATTTCTTCTGAGGAGGAGATCCAGCAATTGTTCGTTCTTGTTGATGACGGCGATCATGATTGCTGTTTTACCGTCAACATCCTGGCAGTTGATGCTGGCGCCCTCACGCAGCAGACAAGATGCTACTTGGTAGTTACCCGACACTGAGGCTACAAAAGAGGAACAAATCATCAGGCCAGGAATTATCTTACAATGGACAAATGTATAATAAACAAGAGGCCAATGGGCCTTAACAGTCACCTGATATATTTATACAGTGAGTTGATTTTTGTTTTTAACATGAACAGAAATATTATTCAAAGTGACAGAAAACAATAAAACCACCTTATTCTTCAATATCTAGCATGCAGATTTAAGACTGAAAAGTATTTGAAACTAGCACCTCTGCTTCTAAACAAGGAAAATGAAAAAAATATTTTAGCAAACGGACTCCATTGGGCCCCACCCTACAGCCCTTGGGGTTAGGGATGGCTCAAAATTTACAAAGTATCAAAATGTCAACTTAGAGTTATAATTCCAATCAAGTTATCAACATGTAATATATATTCAAAATATCATTTGCCATTATAAACCATAACAATCTTGCCCCCCCCCCCCCCCCCCCTTCCTTCCCCAGGGGGAAACGTGAGACCCCAGGGTCAAGAAATTCACAAGTTAAGTAAAGCACCTTAAGACCTTCTATCTATAAAAAGTACTTGATTCTACCATATCTTGATCTTGTGAATTTTTCTTTTGAAATGTTAGTCAATTTTAACCTTTTTGGCACGGCCCCTCAGGCCCCTGGGGGCTGGGGACCATATAACTCCCAATTTTAGTTGATCCTCGGCCATGGAAGGTTTCTGTAAAATTTCATTGAAATTGGTTCAGGGGTTTTGGAGAAGAAGTCGAAAATGTAAATTGTTTACGGACGCACGACGGACAAAAGGTGATCGCAATAGGTCACCTAAGTCTCAGGTGACCTAAAAATTAAACCAATACACAATTACCTTAAATCCTTGACATATTGCCCCTCATTTTAATTGCTATCTTCTCTCCACCAACAAATTTCAAGGTCCCCTTTTCCTCTTTATCTGAACAGATCCTTTAGGTGTCTCCTGGATTTATTACCAAATCCCTTTATAACATCAAAATTTTACTGGACAAATGGTGGAAATACTACATGAGGCCCAAAGAGAACAAAACTGATCTGCTGCCCCGCCCCCAACACCATCCTCCTCAAAAACCCTTCAACTATTTGTGGCTCTATATTTTGTTTTATTTACTCGTTCTATCATGGGTGTCTCACTTGTCACTACTGGTTGTTCTGTGGTTTTATGTCTCCATAGTTTAATTGTGACATTTCAGTGTAGTGACATGGTCCACATACTAAGATATCCCTGGATTGGTCCTATAACCATCAGTGGACAGATCTCCATAGAACCTTAGTTGTTGTATCGCCCATTCTTTAGTGGACACCGTTGTCATATGAACCTTATAGCTAGAAAGGAGCAAAATGTCAAAAAAATAATTAGAAAAAATACAAATATGCTGCTTTTTACAAACTGACCACATCGTAAGAGAGGTGTCCAGCTGCAGTGTTTGTCACAGATGTTTGGGTCAGCACCGTCTGTAATCATCCAGTCTATGAGTGCTGCATTGCCCCCATCCACTGCCCAGTGCATGGCTGTTGATCCTCCATTATCAAAGTCATCGTATCTTGCACCATTATCTCGCAGAAGTTTCACAGTTTCCTTCTGACCGGCAAAGCAGGCTAGCATCAACCTGAAAACAGTGAGTGCAGAAATAATGTACATGTATTATGCGTGCCAGGCTACTGATATGCCTATTGCAATAGTGTATGTATTACAGAAACCTGAAACCTGTCTAATCTGACACCCTGTGGTACAAAAATTATAGTCATATTAACCAGTCTAATCTGACATTCTATCTGAAAAACATATTGGTCAGATTAACTTGTATAGTTTGATACTCTGTGCAGCACAAAATATCAATTGAATTACCCTGTCTAATCTGACACCCTGTGGTACACAAAATTATAGTCAGATTAACCTGTCTAATCTGACATTCTACCTGAAAAACATATTGGTCAGATTAACTCGTATAGTTTGATACTCTGTGCAGCACAAAATATCAATCAAATAAACCTGTCTAATCTGACACCCTGTGGGACACAACATACAAGTCAGATTTACCTGTCACAAAAGAATAACAGATACCTGCCTAATCTGATACAATTTGGACCATTACATATTAAACAAATTGACCTGTCTGATCTGACAACCTGTGCAATACAAAATATTTGTCAGATTAACCTTTGAAATATGATACCCTGTAGAACACAACATATTGGTCAGATAAACTTGTCTATTCTGACACACTGTGGGACATACCACATTGGTCCGATTACCTTGTCTAATCTGACACCCTGTGGAATGGAACATATTGGTCTGATTACCACCAAAGAGACGTATAACATATATTTTAAGGATGTGATACACTTACTGTACAGTGACATCACAATGATATTATCATGTCTTGTTAGGTCATTTTTAACTTCATAGCTTGTTATATCTGAGGTCACTTTTCTTTATTTGTTAAAAAATTGACATTTTCTCAAATCCTTGATTTCAAAGTTCACTAATTCAGTTTCTGAGATCTAACAATATATGAAAAACGAATTTTAGCTGAGATGCAAATAGAGTAAATGTGATTTGCGATGGACACTGTACATGTAATTGTTTTGGTTTAATCTGTGTTCTATATCAATGATGATTTTTAAAGATGCCATGACCTGGAGTATCACAAATACTTACGCTGTTTTACCGGAACTATTCTTCAAATTTACATCGGCACCAAATTTCACCAGTAGTTCTGTCATTCTACAATGACAACACAAAATGTGAAGTTGAAATAGAATTGAAATTGAACTGCACTTATATATACGGGTATGTACTATGTATTGAGGAAATTTATCAATCGTTTCAGAGAAAGAGAACATTTTTCTTGTAAAAAATCTGAATGTAAAAATGCAACAATGACTGACCACTGACCAGAATTCTGGTCCCCCACACCCCCATTCTTAATAGGTGTTGGTCTAACAAACTCAGCTACCTGGTCAACAATTATACCACTTGCGCTATAATTATATCCAAAAGGAATGAAGGGGGGAGGTACAATGAAATTGTATGTGCAAAAATCTGCAACAGAATTTTCTACTGTTTTGACTGCAGTAGGCCAGCAGGGACTCCTAATTAATAGAAGTGGCTAGGAGAGATTGTATGGACGGGTTGGAAGGCATTTATAAAATTTCAAAAGGCATAGAGGATGGGTGGATGAGTGCTAATAAGGGGAAGGGTGCAACTTACACTAAATACAGTTATAGTACAAGCAACAACCCCCCTGCTGCCACCACCCCCACCTACCATCAGTTTTTATTCTTTTATGGAAAAATATATGACTTACTCTGCATCTCCTTTCCTGGCAGCCTGCATCAGAGCGGAGAATCCCAAATTATCCGGTGTGTCTATATTCACCTCTCTGAAGCCAAGAAGAAACGCCATAACATGAATTTAAATCTCGATCCTTAGTTCTACAAGACAAGTACCAGAATTACCTGTGGACTTGTCCAGCTGTTATCTGTTGTTTGAACCATATATAGGGTGAGGAAAATGAGGATGAGCCTTCGATATTGGTTTTCTCAACATATTAGCAGTTTAGGTGAGCTGACAATGACATCATAGCTGCTAGCTAATATATAGGACACAGATGTATTGAAACCATACTTGTCAACTCTCCCTATTTTCATTTGCAGGAGCTCGAGGGAGATTCCCAATTTTGGACCCTTAAATTTAGCCTTTTCAAGCAGTGAATTTGCTGAAATATTCCTATATTCTAAAATCTAATTATTTCATCTGAAAGAGTAAATCAAAATATGTCATTTAAAGGGTTATTCTGTCTCAAGGAGGTATATACACATTGTATTTAGGTTTTAATTTTGAGCATGCAAAATCTTTCCCCAATGGAAATTGAAAAAGGTTGGCAAGTATTGTCAGAAACACCAATGAAATTACTTGTAAATATCACAATTCCTTAGAACTACAAACTCATAAATATTGTAATATTGGAAGACTACACTGTTTTGAACTCGATACCACTGTGTTCTATGAATTATATACAAAATACAGGTATACATGCATAGATTATTGTATATTATATGTATAATGTGTATAGAGATTTTGTATATATTATGTATACATGCATAGATTATTGTATATTATATGTATTACTGGAATAGAGATTTTGTATATAATATGTATAACATGTATAGAGATTTTTTATATATTATACATGCATAGATGATTGTATATTATATGTATTTCATGTATAGAGATTTTTGTTTATAGTAAAAAGTAATTATTTTGAACTCGATACCACTGTGTAACATGTAAAACAATATTGTAAATAATACGTACGGGTATACATGTACATTGTATATAATACATGTATGGAGATTTTGCATATAATACATGTAAGGAGATTTTGTATATAATACATGTATAGAGATTTTGTATATACCCGTAATACATGCATGAAGATTTTGTATATAATACATGTATGGAGATTTTGCATATAATACATGCAAGGAGATTTTGTATATAATACATGTATAGAGATTTTGCATATAATACATGCATGAAGATTTTGTATATAATACATGTATGGAGATTTTGCATATAATACATGCATGAAGATTTTGTATATAATACATGTAAGGAGATTTTGCATATAATACATGTATAGAGATTTTGTATATAATACATGTATAGAGATTTTGTATATAATACATGTATGGAGATTTTGCATATAATACATGTATAGAGATTTTGTATATAATACATGTATAGAGATTTTGTATATAATACATGTATGGAGATTTTGCATATAATACATGTATAGAGATTTTGTATATAATACATGTATAGAGATTTTGTATATAATACATGTATGGAGATTTTGCATATAATACATGTATAGAGATTTTGTATATAATACATGTATAGAGATTTTGTATATAATACATGTATGGAGATTTTGCATATAATACATGTATAGAGATTTTGTATATAATACATGTATAGAGATTTTGTATATAATACATGTAAGGAGATTTTGCATATAATACAAGTATAGAGATTTTGTATATGCCCGTAATACATGTATGGATATTTTGTATATAATACACGTATAGAGATTTTGTATATGCCCGTAATACATGTATGGAGATTGTGGATATCCATGCAAGGATATTTGGCATATAATACATGTATAGAGATCTTGTATATAATACATGTATTGAGATTTTTCATATACATATATGTAATATGTATACATGTATAGAGATTTTGCATATAATACACTCATGAAGATTTTGTATATAATATGTATAACATGTATAGAGATTTTGGAGATAATACATGTATGGAGATTTTGCATATAATACATGTATGGAGATTTTGCATATCCATGCAAGGAGATTTTGCATATAATACATGTATGGAGATTTTGCATATCCATGCAAGGATATTTTGCATATAATACATGTATGGAGATTTTTCATATACATTTATGTAATATGTATACATGTATAGAGATTTTGTATATAATACATGTATAGAGATTTTGTATATAATACATGTATGGAGATTTTGCATATAATACATGTATAGAGATTTTGTAGATAATACATGTATGGAGATTTTGCGTATACAATGTAATTCATGTATAGAGATTTTGTTTATAGAAAAATGTACAAATTTTGTATTTAGTAACATGTAAAACGATTTTTGTAAATAATACATGTAAAGAGATTTTTGTTTATAGTAAAATGTGCAGATTTTTTATTTAGTAACATGTAAAACGATTTTGTAAATAATACATGTATACCATGTAAGAGATTTTGCATATAATATGTTTTACATGTATAGAGATTTTGTATATTGTATGTTTTACAAGTATAGAGATTTTGTATATAAAACGTATCACATGAAATTAGAGATTTTGTATGTTATACATGTATAGAGGGTGGCACTTCAACAAACTATTTACATTATCACATGTAAACATTAAAATTACAGAAACATGGCAACCATGGAAGGAGAATGTAATTTTAGTATCAACAAACTGATGTGCTGAAACAAGGTGCATAGGTCCTTTTAGAATATACACATACCTTTACTTAGATAAAAGAATATGTTCAGAATCCCCAAGAATCCAGTAACGTCTAACACCTACCCAGACTCCAGTGTGTCTAACACCTACCCAGAATCCAGTATGTCTAACACCTACCCAGAATCCAGTATACCTAACACCTACCCAGAATCCATACCCAGAATCCAGTATACCTAACACCTACCCAGATTCCATACCCAGAATCCAGTATGTCTAACACCTACCCAGAATCCATACCCAGAATCCAGTATGTCTAACACCTACCCAGAGTCCATACCCAGAATCCATATCCAGATCCAGTATACCTAACACCTACCCAGAATCCATACCCAGAATCAAGTATGTGAGTCCATACCCAGAATCCAGTATGTCTAACACCTACCCAGAATCCATACCCAGAATCCATACCCAAAATCCAGTATGTCTAAAACCTACCCAGAATCCAGTATGTCTAACACCTACCCAGAATCCATACCCAGAATCCATACCCAGAATCCTGTATACCTAACACCTACCCAGAATCCAGTAAACCTAACACCTACCCAGAATCCAGTATACCTAACACCTACCCAGAATCCAGTATGTCTAACACCTACCCAGAATCCAGTATACCTAACACCTACCCAGATTCCAGTATAGTTGTGGCCACATCATGGTATGCCCGCTGCACAGCCTTGTGTAACTGTTCTGCACACATTGGCTCTTCTGGAAAACATCAATTAAATACAGTAAAAAAAAAAATCAGAACTCTTTACTTTAAAAATCAGGAAATTATTTTGTATCAATTTTGGTTGAAATGGAATGGAAAATACAGTCTTTACAGAACAAAGAACTTAAAAGTTCTAAAATTCTGACTGGGCATGGAGTTTTAACAAGAGAGTGATTAAAGGGCAATAACTCCCACAAAAAATTACAAAGCATTTGATATTAACTTCAGCTGAGAAGTAAATGTCTATAAAGGTACCAAGTTTCATCAAAATCCTTTAAAACATGAGGTCTGCACCAGGATAACAACAAGTGAATTGACACATGCCAGTCCACTAGCCTGGAATATTTGTCTCTCATTCACAGATTAATGTAACTCTTAATTGAATCTCAACCCATCATGGGGACAGAAGTTCACAATTTTTTGCCTTTTCCTTTCCCTCAATTAAATATTGCGGGAATGCCAAATTTTTCCAGTGCTTAATTGAAATCTGGTCATAAAAAATGTTAAGGGTCAACGAAAAATTGTAATAGGAAACACAATACACTTATTTCTGGCCTGATTTATCTACAAAGTGGCAGGTATGATAAATCATACATATTAGTATTTGTAATCCACTTGCATATCGAAGGAATAAATCCTGGATAGAAGAACTGTTTGACATACCAGAACACCCACATACTACCCAGGAATAATCTGATAGGCTGATTGACTTACTTAATCAGCCACAGTGATGTGTTAAGACCGAGATAATTAGCTATATAATCAGGAACAACAACATACAACAATAACAATCGATTAATCCATCGTATTGCTCTTTCTCTTAAGGATCCCTGTTCCACTGAAGACAAACTGTTAGACAATTGCAGAGTATAGTTTTTCCTGATTTTGACTATTCAGAACCCCTTTATTTCGTTTTGGCTATAATTGTTGCTAGAGACTGGGCCAGGTTACTACTGTATATCATGTAGCTTCGTTTGTTGGAGCACCTGTCACAAGTCTGGTCTGTGACACGTAGATCATGTGGCTAAGTTTGTTGGAGCACCTGTCACAAGTCTGGTCTGTGACACCGACACAGATCACTGTTCCTTTTTTTTTATTTTTTTATTGTATCCATGGAAAGCAAGGTTTGGTTATCTGTTCAGAAAAGGTTTTCAATGCATAGTTTAAGTGTTTTGGCAGTGGTACAGTAAAGCTCCATTGGTACAGGGATCCTTAACCCTTCACCACTGTGGACCATAATGGACACATCCAGATCAACAAATGGTAGAGTCTACTAAAGTTACATAAGGGTGAAAGGGTTAAAGCTCCATTGGAGTCCAAGGTTCCATGTTTGTAAAAAAAAAAAAAAAAACTATTTTTGTATAACCAGTCATCAAGCTGGGACAAGTGACTCAACGCATTTGGAAGTCTGTTATGAGAAAATAGGGCCATTATATACTCCAGCTGGTTCAAAAGAGTTGTGTAGGCAGGAAAAAACACTCTAAATATTCCATACCATGGCAACTTCAGAAAATCATGGCCATCTCTGGAAAAGCTTGAGTGTTTACCACTCAGCCAAATCCACCCACATGATGTCAAAATGAAAACATTATGATTAGTTGATGTCACAAACCAGAAGGAGAGTGGTGTACAGTACTGTTCTTTATTTTACAGCTTCAAATTTTCACATCACTTTAACTTTTTGTGCGCTGTCTAATGTAATTATTGTAATAAACACAGGTAACAAGCTGTTACAATAATGTCATATGTTTTTATGACACACACACCAATAAAAACCTTGTAAAATGATCATGACTCACTTGTTGTCGTGACAGTAACGTGTTGGCTGCATTCGCCCTTGTCCACATCGTTTGCGAACCTTAGTCTGTAGGTGTACTGTCGGAGGGGCTCCAATCCTTGGACAACGTGTTTCTTGCCATAGCCCCTGCAAAACACAACAGATACCAATATAACATTTTCATTAGGTAAGTAAATATGAATTGTAGAAAGGTTATGTATCACAACCAGTAAGCGTTTATGTGTGATGATTTGATGACTAGTACGGTACATACCCTGTCACCTTCATCAGACAAATGACCTACACATTAACAGAGGTGTGAAATAGGAAAAATAATAGCAAACATTGATTCAGATGCACTATAAGCATATGTACACTTAGTTGTTCTGTAAAAAATGACGCATCAAACCAACAATTCGACTTGGCCACGCTTTGTGTTTAATACTTGGTCATAGATGTGTGAGAGTCTATGAGCCCCCTCATCTCAGTTCCAAGAAACCAATATAGTTACAAAGAAATCTGTCTACTGCACACCACATGGCCCAACATGCTTTTTAAGTTTGGATTCCTATTAACAGTTTTTTTGATCAGTTAAAACTAGTACCGTTACCCAAAGGTTGACTAATTTGATTTACAAGCATAAATGACTCATCTAATTACAGGCCAAGACAGTCATCTTGAACCCAAAACCTTGGAAGTTAGTCTTATCGCATACCTGTTATACTTTACTCGAGTATCTCTCCCACAAAGTGTCAAAGTTCAGCTCAATAGAATATAAGTTATAACTGTGATTGTCTCGGCAAATCAGAGGCCACAGTGGTCATCTTGTATCCTCATAATTTTGAACTATCTAGTAGATTATGCTTTGCTAAGCATAATTGGCTTGAGTACAACCCCCTCCATCCCTTAACCCCAAATCAATTATTGTCTGTTTTTCTGGTTTCACCTCTAAAAACTAAAGGCCAGTTCATAAGAGAATAATTTAATCATATTAAATATTTTTTTATATACGTATGTAGTTTAAACAGAACAATTGTTATATCTTAGGATCTTGACTGTCCTGGTATAAAATTGGTTAAAAAACTTTGGGGTCAGGCTGTCAAAAATAGGTTCTGTAGCAAAACCAGAAGCAATTTTTCATTTTTTGGCATTTGTTTCGTTCACCAAATATTAAATACAAGAAACAGACAAAAATATTCTCTACTACCAAAACTTGTCATTCAATAGGAGCAATTATATGATATTGTGTAGTATATGTGAAACCCATTGTAATATGACCTGCAGTTCATTTTACCATTATGGTAATATGACACCTCTTGCCCCCACCGCTGGAGTCGGTTAATATACAGGTTCACAAACGTATCTGTAATGTGTGCATGGCCTATGCATTACAATCCTGGGTCAACACTTACACAGTGGTCCAGGAGTCGGTCAATATACAGGTCCGCAAACATTTCTGTACACACATTCATGATATGTGAATGTAAATAGAAGTAAATGTATGACATCCAGATGTGAAATAGTTAAGCAAACAACATGGAGATTGGGTCTCACCGTAAATTACCAGTGATAAGTCCACACAGATTAACAATCCAACATTTATATGGCTTAAACATTCCACATAAGAACCTTACTAAAAATCCAACTTGAAAACAATTTCACTTGTAATATGCTTTGGTAGGTTCATTTAGCAGCAGCTGTAGAATGGAAATGTTAAAAAACCTGTTAACATACTTGTTTTAGCGCTGATTCACATTTTAGCGAATTATCAAATTCTAACATATTAGCACATCAATGACATATGTCTCAACCAAAATACATGTACCTTATAGAAAATAAGCTTAACTTCAATCAATTTTGAAGAATACTTTCAGAGCAAAAATGCTAAAATATGTACGCTAACAGTACAATTATCTGTAAACCGCTCTGGAATGCTCGTAATTTTGGTACAGTTCATAAAACTGGTTTAAGCTGTTAAAGGGACACAACTCTTACAAAAATAAGTAATGGCGAAGGAAATCACTAATCCTTGAATTCTTCCACAGATTTAGTTTCTTTGGGGTTTTATGACACAACTATTTTACAGGAGAACATTTATTTGAAAACAAGTTACTCAGGATTATAGGGTTAGATATTTTGATAAGATGTTGATGGATAGATTTTAACACCTTTTAAGGCCTGTTGTTTCACCTGGAAAGATAGTGTATTTTTTTGTTTGTTACTCATTAATAAACACTCATTAAATTATGGTATACAAAAAAATTGGTAAAATTTCAAGACCATCACAAGAAAAGCATCAGCTGTTTTCCAAATGTTGCGCCTCAACAGAATATGTTTTACATGTGGTTTGTTGAGAAACATGATATTAAGAAGAACTCCTGTTAAAATAACATGATATAAAACAAACTAAATTACATAAAAAAAAATAGGTATGAAAAGAAAAAATGATGATTTTGGAAAAAAATATATACTTAAACAGAAAAGTGACATTTGAAACAACAGGAAACTTAGTGGAATGATTCTAATTGAGAAATTGCCTACTTTTTGAACAATTTCCAAAGTCATTGTATATTTACCCCTTGACTGCAATTTTTGCAAGTTCTCCTTAAGCTTAATTCACCCTGGTCTGGAACCGAAACAGACAGTAAAGCATTGATCGAAGGGTCTTCCTGCAGCTCGCTCAGAGAAATAAGCCCTAACGAGCCACCTAATGCAAAATGATTCATTGGTGTCTAGAAGTAGGTATCCTGACATAGCAATCACTAAGGAATCAGATTTTCTTATTAAGATGGTTTATAAGCCTGTACTTTGGTAAGTTCATGATTCGGAAATCATTGGTGTATATAGAAGACTGGCTTATTTTGCATTAACTTCAACATGTATTGTTTTTAGAGCTACAGCGGTTTACTGGTCAATTTGGACATGAACATAAGCGTATTAAGGCTTTGGTGGTTGGAAGGCACAGTGGATAACACACTCGCCTTTCACCAAGATGGCTGGGGTATGATTCCCCGATTGGACAAGAAAGGTAGGGGTCGCCTGACTGACCTAAGGGTTTTCTCCAGGTAACCCAGTTTCCTTCCATATTAAGACCCCCTGCACATACAGGCCAACAAGAGTGATTAACATAAATTGACCAACTTGTATCGTAATTGTTGTAAAATAAATAAAGTTTATATTTTGAATGTTGCTAGTCTGCTGGCCAGTTCTGGACAAGGTCCAAGTTGGAAGGTTATTTATGGTAACAAAGTATTTTACAATCCCCAGAGGATCTAATTTACGAACACCAGTCGGTTTGTTTGACCACCCCGACCTGTTTGTGACCTTAAGTGTCCTCAGAGACAGGACAGACCAAACATTGGACCATGTAAACATCACAAACACGTAGTCGATTCTTCTGTTGGTTTATATTGAATGACTTAACAAAAATACTTGAGAATTTGGAAGCGGTAGTTATACGGGTATAAAAGAGCAACTTGATACGCTTAGTATGTACCTGTCTGTTAATAACAATATACAAGTTGTGTATACCTGCTGGTCATTCTATACTTTGTATGGACCAGTAAAGCATTATATAGGAATGGAAAACAAACACAACAAGTGCCGAATGGTTAACCAGTAGTTTGCATAGGTCACTACTGTCATTTAAGTGGCTATATAATTCTTCCATGTACTTGTCACCCCAGGACAGCAGTAGCGTTTTTACACATGAACCGCTCTAACCTCTTCTACCCCTATAGACCTCCTTATAGACGGGATCAGCTAGTATACAATACATACTTCAGGGGCAGGAGAGTGAAATGGTTTCTATTTTTCAGATTTGTTTGTTGATTTTGGATAAACTAGCTTACAAAAACTTGTCCCCCCTCCCCTCCTTGACCTCATTTGAATACAAAAGAAATCTTGTACAGATTCTCAAATCTTCTTAATTCAATAAGGTTTTATATAAATATTGATTGTTTGTTTTCAACAACTAAAATATAGTTTAATACCACCTGCAATAGCCAAGGGAAGACGGAAAATTTCACATTGATATTGTCATACCAGAGATATTTGGACACTGAAGCTAAATTTAAGTCACGTCAAAATACATGGAACAATGCTTTTTAAAAATCAACAAGACATCACAAGTGATATAAATATAACAAAATGGGTATTTTATTGTACATGAAATGTATAAAGTAACTACTTGTTGTCACATAATTACAGTTAAACCAAAGATTGAAATCAAAGTAATTATGCTGGACCTTGGACCGTCACTCACTAGTATACAATACGTACTAGTTTAATAGGTTTTATGAAAAGTTGTAACCAAATAAAACCTCAAGAGTAAGATTATAAGCTATTTATGTGTAAAATTATACTTTTAGTAAACAGTGACCTTGACCTTTCACAAATGACTTCGATCAAGGCAGACATACCTGTTACGTTACATAACTGTGAAGTTCAGTAAAAATCTGTCTAGACTTACAGCTAATAGACTGATGATAAAAAGTGTTAAATTGAAACTTAATTTTTGTAACAGTGACCTTTGACCTTTGACCAATGACACCCAAATTCAAATTTGTTCAAAGTATCTCTACGGCAGACATAAGTGAAATTTTAACCTGATACAACTCACCAAGATTAATAACTACAATTTATTGTTCAGAAAATGTTGAGAGAACTTTTAACTTGAATTTACCACACTTTGGAGAGACATACATACTGCAGGTAAGACTTAAAACTCCATTACAGTAAAAACCTTTTAGGGTTATGATAACCCTCATCTCAGAATTCAACCATGATAAATGACATCAATGTACTTTAACCTAAAATATAAAGCTGACACAATAATGTTGAAATAATGTACGATTGAAAATATCTTTTGTCTAGCAAGTACTGAAATAAAAATTAGAAAATAAGAGACACTGTTGTATGGTTGGGTGGCTAAACCTTCAGTGTAAGCAAAGTCAGTGAAGTGGAAAATATAGGTAATTTCCAATATCACCAAATCAGTGAAGTGGAAAATATAGGTCATTTCCAATATCTCCAAATCAGTGAAGTGGAAAATATAGGTCATATACAATATAACCAAGTCAGTGAAGTGGAAGATATAGGTCATATACAATATAACCAAATCAGTGAAGTGGAAAATATAGGTCATT